ACTTACTTTGCAAATATAGGATAGAGACTACCTTAAATGACGATTCTTCCGTTTATATCCATAGCATCTGAAAGAAAACACAAAACCACAAATAATGACGCTTAAATTGATGGCCGCATTTTTTTCCCCAATCAAAAACGAAAAAAGAATCATAACGAAAGCAACAAAAGGAATAGAACTTTTTAAAAAACAACTAAACGACCAACCAGAGTTTTAAAGCGAGAGATAACNCACAAACCTTTTTGTTTCCTATCTCTGTCAATCCAAGCAACTCCAACCAGTAATGTTTTGATCTGCACACACAGTTTAATAATGAAGATCGAAAACCATGATCTCAATGAGACAAATCTATGAACTTGCAACTTTTTTTAAAAAAAATGGAAGCGTGCATGAATAAATTTATCTTTTTCTTCAGCTTCGACGGCAATATTACAAACCTGTCATTAAACCACAATCCTAAAAAAAAAAAAATCTCTTCGAATCACCTCAATTAACTTCGGTGTTGTCTGCATCAAAGACTATCCATCTTTAACGGATAAAAATACAATGTCTAAACCCTAGACTTAGTTATATAAAAGAAAAATAAAAAAATTATGGATGTGGCAATTAGGGCTTATCAAAACCGACTAATGAACATGGGCTACAAAAATATTTTGGTCCAAACCCAATTATTGTTTATGAAGGATATAAAGCTCACGAAATTTCGATGGCATGAGGTGTAATTACCTTAATTTTATTAAGGGTACCCCTGTAATCAACCACACTCAAATTCATTCTGAGGGCGCCACGTAGGATTTCGCACTTCATATATAATTATATAGGTACCCTTGTTTCATGAACGGTTTTAGCAATTTTAAATGATTTTCAATTTTTTTCATAGATTTTGTCTGAGAGATTAATATGTTTACTAGATTTTGACCCACACCAAGTGTGGAATTAAATATATTTTCTAATCGATTTTAATATTTAGATGGGTATTCCAATATTTATAAACATACAAAAATTATTTGTATTGTACATAAATGTCATAAAGTTAAATTTTGATCAAGCATACTTTGATGTTATATGATTTGATCAATTTTGCATAAAGTATTAAAACTAATGCAAATATTATTTATTTCAATTTATTTGAAATGTAAAATTTATTTGTGTAAATTATAGCATACGATAAATCAAATAAAATTTAGACTTATATGAATTTGTGGGACATAACAAACAAAAAATATATATGTTTTTCAATAATTGAAAATAAAAATATTTGTAAATATAGTTGTCGTTTACAAATAAATAATATTGTTACAAATATAATAATAAAAGCTTCTTAATATATCAATTTTTTTTTAAAAATAGATCATATGGTAAGTCTAAATATTACATTTAGTAAAATTTAAATCTGCAAAATGTGTATTACTGGGTTTATATTATAAAATTAATAAAAAAATATAGAGATTTCCACCATAGCATATGATTTGAATTGAAATGTTTTCATTGATTAATTTAAATGACATTATTCTTAAAATCTCCAATGAATGACATATATAATTTTTCCACCAAATATCTTCTCAATTGATATATAGAGGATTAGTGACATGTTTGAAAATGTTTCAAAATGATGTTATTTTTGAAAAATGGTATCTTAAAAGTGGTATATTTAAAAATTTCTCTACATTTAATATAAGTGTTATGTAAATTAAGTTTTGTGAGATAAAAAATATTTATTTGTATGGGAGATATATACTATTTGACATATTTTAATCTTGCGTTTGACTCGGGTAAAAAAATCTAATAGTTATTGAAAAAAAAATATTCTCAAATATTTTTCAATATTTTTTAAATAAAATCCTCCATATTAATTACTACATATTTGTTGTTTTTATATATTCATAATTAAGAATTTTTAATAATTTTTATTATGAATTCTTTAAATGATATTTAAGATTTTTTTATCGGGTGTCTCTTCTACTAATATACAGAGGATTTACCGATTTTGTTTTCGCTGATATATACTTGTTCCGTCGGTTCAGTTTTTTTTTTTTTTTGGATTTAGTTAAGATTTTTAAAGTTTTTAGTAGTAAAAATGTAGTTGACAAAAAAAAAATAAAAATGTTTTGTCCAAAATGCGAGGAACAAAAACCCTACAAAGTTGATGAGTCACATAAAGCAAAGGCCGGGCCGGGAATTTCGTCGAACAATTGAGCTGCGTTTTCCAAATGGCGCCTTGTGCCTAAAACTTCTTCTTTACCTTTG